TTTTATATTTTGTCACTGTAAAGAAGGATGCTTTTCATCGAAATATACTTTTCTTTGCCCTTGAAAATGTACAATTCCGAATGATTGGAAAGATCAGATTCCTCATCAAATTTCATTTTGGCATATAGGAAAAATCAACGCATTAGATACAGGGTTGTGATTCGCCGTGTAAATTCGCTTACGGAAGGATGAAGATGGAAGCATTTAAAAAGAGCTGAACTATTTTCTCTCAAATAACGCAATGGATTGACCTTTGCCAGGATATTTTAAGAAGAATGATCTGTCTTCTGTATTCCTTTTCAAAAGTTTCCAGCTGCAACATATTTTAATCAGGCCTACATTTTACAATTCCATTACTTAAGTAAAGATGTACTTTGAAAACTGTAACATACTTAAAAGATATACTGGATTCGTTTAAAAATTAAATCATACTTCTTACAATTAAAACACTTAAAAACGTTAACTAAAGTATATATTTTTCTTAAAAAATTTAAGAATGGACTTCAGACATTTTATAACAATTTTATAACATACGAATGTCATAAGAAGGAGTTGCAGTCGGATGTTCTGATACCAAATAATTCACTAAAACACTTTTAATTTGCAATGGACGTATGCATTACTCCTATAACAGCCCGGCGCCTAGCTTAAGAAGATTCGCTTTAGATGAGGCATGGTTTTGAAATGTAAGGTAATTTCGATATATTAATAGAAAACTATTCACTAATAAAGAAAAAAATCACATTCTCTAAGTTTCAAAATTTAAGTATTAAACTAGAACAACATTATTCAGAAAATTCTGAAATAGTAATGCTAATATTTGAATGAATTACGTTGCAAACATATTAGCCCCTCTGTCATGGTATAAATCGCTAAGCTGAAGGTATAATTTTCTTTAACAGTCAAAAATTTACTCTGCCTGACTTGCATTTAGTGCAAAACCGTCGTAAAAATTTTATGCATTTTGAGTATTGTGTGAAAGAGGCACATTTTTAGAATCTTAACAATTCTAGTTGTACATAAATTATTGCGATGAATGTACTTTTATTTTTGTACTAAACGATTTGTAGCATAAAAGCTGTTAAGAGAATAAATAGTACATTCATGAATTAAATTTCAGTAATATATTTATTTGCTAGTGGCATGAAGAAGAGAGATTTAATATGAAATTGAACGTTTAACTGCTTTACCTAATACCAGTTTGAAATGCTTTAAAAATTAACGGATTATATATAGATTAAGCATCGCAACCAAATTAGAGAGGAAAACGTAGCTTTGTGAAGTACTGTTATTTCTTGTGTTCCACAAGGTAATGCATTAATACAATGACATGCATAGCCAAGCGATTAACACATTGACATACACACTGACGTTGTATCTAATTAATTTAAGTATTTTGCCAAGAAATGGAATGACATGTCTAAAGTTGGCTCGCAGCTCAAAAAAATTATCTATCGAATGGTGTAAAAATGCTGTGTCATTAACTGTTATACGAGAATTTGAAATGATAATCTATTTCGTATACCACTTAATACAAAGAAGATACCACGTTGTGAATGCGTTGCGAGCAAGGCAGAGAACGTGAAAAGCGCGCCATGATGCGAATGTTAAAAGTATTTGGGAGGGCCCTGTATTTGCCTTTCACATTAAAAAGCAAAAAACACACATTTCGCACACAAGAATTTCGCATTTAAACCAATTTCGAAGTCATCCTACAAGATCATAATGTCACCATAACACACAACCGTTAAGCTTACATTTCAAAACGTTTATTTTGCATGAGGGAAATTAAGATGAAACATAGTAACTTTGGCTCAGAAAAAAGCTTGCATACCATCACTCAGTGTGTGAAACAAAGCATGCCAATGGAATAGAAAAAAAGGAAAACCATTCCTAGTAGTAATAAACGAAAGGAATTTTTTTAACTAAAATTCTAAAGACAGTAAGTCGAGTGGTTAAGAATACTGCGGGTTCGATCCCAGGTGAACGGGCTGGCTGCATGTTGGTTTTCGATGTTTTTCTCATGTGTAACGTGAATACGAACTAGTTTGTCTTAGGAATTCCTCCAGAATGGCATCCTTACATAGCCCTTGTGTGCTTTGCTATATTCAAATAATCTAACCTAACCTAACCTCAAAGAGGAAAAAGAAATATAGATGAAATAGATTAAGTAATAGTCCTATTTTGATTCTAAATAATGCAGTTTAAGATGTTTGTGCATAAAGTAACAGTTTTGTAGTAACGCCACAAAAAATTGTAAAATATATTTCATTCTAATTGAACGAAATATTAAATATTTTGAACGTCTCAAAGGAAAAGAACATTAGTTAATTTGGTAAAATAAGTAAAGGCTATTCTACCTAACAAAAAGATACTTTCATGGAGGATTTTCGAAAAGAAATTGGCTTGTATCCATACTACCCATGATGAAAACTCTGAAAGCGCCCAGAAGTTTTTTCCTTTCTTAGGAGGAAAAGAAACAAATTTTTCGAAACTATCAACGTTAGCAGCTACGAGAATAATTAGCAGGTTTTTACGCAATTTTTCTTTAACGGTTTTCTTCACATGAAGATAGAAAAACATCTGCCATTGCTATCATTTTTCAAATGCTTTCAGTCAGTCTTCTCCTAATGCATCTTTACAACAGACATTAAGAGGCCTTGAATAGATTTTTCTTTCAGAAAAAGGGGTTGCGATGAAATGACTGAAGTTTCTGGGACATCGATATAAACGTATAAAATGCGAGATACATAGTTTTAGTGTTAATTATCAGTGACGTAGCGAGGGGGGCAAGGGGGTGTATAATGCCCCGGACGCCGCTCGCAGAGGGGCGCCAAATAGTCTCCAAACAAGATTTTCATCATATCACTGTGTTTTTTTTTTCGGGGAAGGGGGGGGCGCCAAAAAGTATTTTGGCCCGGGCGCCAGTTATGCTTGCTACTCCACTGTTAATTATTGTCGGTGTGGTGTGGTGTATTTAATTATGGCAAAGCACACTAGGGCTATCTGCCTAAGAGGAGGGATGCCTTTCGTGGAGGACTTTCTAAGGGAAACTGGCTCGTATACACGTTACACATGGGGAAAACCACGAAAACACCCATGCAGCCAGCCCGTTCGCGGGGTTCGAACCTCGGACCGAACTACCAGTGTTCAGCGACTTTACCGCTCGGCCGCTGGTGGGCCTAATTATTATCGGAAAATATCGTAAAGGCTTTAGTATGTTTAAAAATTTTTTCGAAAACGGGGAAAGATTTTTAAAATTCAAACAAGTTGGATCCCACACCCATATATATATAATTAAGTAAATTGTCTAGTTCAAGTGTAATTAAGGTTACCTTCATAATTTTTGTAAAATTCTACGCTGTACCAATAAGAAAAGACAATACTCCTGCAGTTAGAACAAAAAGCACTAATGGTCAAAATTAGAAAATAAATTAAGCGTTCTGATGGTGTCACCATCTATTAAAGTGAATATCATGAAACATTCGAAACAACTAAATTATTAGTGACCGAGCGGCGGAGACAATCGGTTGCTATAACGTTTTGTTTTCTCTTCGGGCTTATCTTGTAACCATGATAACGACTGCTGCGTAAAATGATCGTGTCCCCTTAAAAAATACCCAATACTCTGAGTGCTGTGATGACGACATAATTTGGGATAGTAAAAGATGGGAGTGTCGATAGGATCTTGAAGTGCCTATTTTAAAGTAACAGAGTACAGCTAGGTATTCAAATGGAAAAATACTAAGTTAAGTACTGATAGTTAATAGGTAGAATAAGTATTTAAGCAGTATAGTAAACTTCGGTACTCATATACAAATTTAATAAGTTTTATTGTTTCTTAGTATCAAGTTTTCTAGATAGCTAAATATTAAGAAAGTCTTTTCAATTACTGCGAAAACATGCTGACATGTATGAGTGTAATTTATTGGACATTAAGCATTTAAGTCACAGTTTATAAATTGGAAATCGGAAGCTATTTTACATTTCAACCAAAAAGAAAACTGTTTATGCAAATGTAAATATGCGTTTAATTCCAGCTAATCAGGATTCAGTGTTACTAACTTTTTGACTCTCTATTGATAAATTCTCTACTACCTGAAGCTTACTTTTTAAACTTTTTAAATCAATGTAACCTATTACAAAATTACAGATTATTTTTTCGAACGATATTCCCTTTCAGTGCTATAGTGTACGTCGTTAGTAACTTATGTCCTATAATAAAATCCTTCATTTCCAAACTATATTCAAATAATATAGTAATTCTGTAAATGAGAAAAATTTATGGTCTTTAAATATTTAGTTTAGATACGAAATATTCAGGTATTTATCAGTGTTGTCCTTAAAGAGTAATTGTTGGAAAAATAATAGTACGCAAAGCACTTATCGAAAAAAAAAAAAAAAAAAAAAAAAAAAAAAAACTGTATGCTTTTAATTTACCTAATGAACAATATCAACACAAACTTCTAATACAGAAAATGGACTTTTACAAGAAGGTAATGAAAGCGATTCGCAATCACGTTTCTTAATAGTTTTGTGACGATGTAAAAATTAAATATTTGTGAAAGAAACCTTTATTGAAAGGAAAATTTAAAATATTTTCAAATCTTTGGCAACAAACACTTAATTAAAGTTCATAATTTTCTTTTAAATGTTATGATTTTTTAGGTTTCCAATAAAAACTGAAATCAAGAAAAGAAAACTGAAATCACCTTATCGATTAATACTTGTTCATTAAAATTTATCCCGAAACGAGGCTATATTAGCCGCAATCAGTTTTACACTCTTAAACGCTAATAAGAATTGTACAGCTGTGAAAGTCAGAGCAAGCAAATGCAAAGCATACGCAGAATTTCATTTGAAAATCTTGCCACTTAAAAATTGTTCCGTCAATTGTGATGGACCGCGTTCAACATGAGGAAGTACAACCATTTGTCACGTGACTCACGCGAAGCAACAGCCTACCTCTTCCCCTTCAGAAGGAAAACTTACAGTTCCGTTAATCTGGCAACAGCAGTTGACGGCTTGTATTTGATGGCTGAGGATATGTAGTGTATCGTAGTTGAATCAACTATAGTTTTTTTATTTTACTGCTTCAGAAATTGCATTGTAGCAGCGAGAGAAAGAATTAGATTAATCTGCATTAATAAATTGAGATTTCTGTCATCAGCTGTTAAATAACCTTGCTGACAGCTATCAAACTGGTTCGATCTAATCGCCGTCTGGAAGCAGCTATAAATTTGGTATGATTCATTTGCTTTTTTATACAATGTTGTCTAGGTAATGATAATTTTAAAAATGCCGTTTAAATAATTGCATCCCCGTTAAAGAACTGTACCTGTTTGTTATTAAGAAATGTATATTTCGCGAAAGAATATAATACTGGCGACATGCCAGATATTCCAAGTATCGTTTTTGTATAAGTAGTTTTATAAACAAAATTTCAGCTGCGTAGTGTTGACCATTAAAAAAAAGGGAAGTCTTAATATCCAATAAGTTTTAAGCAAATGACTGTAAATACCTTTATCATTTACTCAGTTCAGAAATAATACATTTTAACAATAAGCGTTACTTTTTTGCAATTCATGTTTTAAATTGAAAGTAAAATCAAGTGTCTGTACTTTTTATTCATATTATTGAAATGCTGATATTTGTTGTCAAATTTTTAGACAAAAAGAAAATTTGGTGACTCTTTATATTAGAAAAAAAGAACAAAACAAAACAAAAACTTTTGACTTTTCATGTTAATATGTACGACGTCCTGATTTAATTTGAATATAACAAAATATTCTCAATATGAATTAATATATTACAGAATCAAATTGCTATTATTGCTTGCATACGGGTTCATAATAAATTGAATGCACAAGCCTGGGTAGAATCCTAGTATACGGTGCAGCCTTGGCACGGTTTTGAAAATTATCGCCAACACCAAAAATGATCCAAAGAACATCTATATACTATGTGTGTATATACATAGTTTATACTATGTATAACTATATACAGTCAAAAGTCGTTAATCCGGACTCGTCGGGACTTCGGCGATACCAGATTATCGATTTTTCAGGATTATAGATCATCAGTTTAAATCTCATAAGATGGCATGCAGAAATTCTAAAATTAAAAATATGAAACCGTAATTTATGAAATAAAGAACAATTATGATCTATAGGGTATCAAAATTTACAAAAAAAAAAAGTTTAATATTTATTTGTTTACTTTATTAAACATTTCTTTCAATGTAAGTTGTTTAAGTTGCTTCGTTTTATGTGATAATACTTTCTCTTTAATTCTATAAACAGACACAATTTCTTGTTCAGTTACAAAGTTCCGCTGTTCAAGTCCCGTAATTGCTGTGCCGAGAATACCGACTAACTTGTCAATCGAAATTTTTTCATTTTCACTAACCTCTCTGTCACTTTCTTCATGTCTTTATCCATTTTTTGCAGCAATTCCACTTTTTGTTTGATGGACATCGAAACATACTTTCGTTTTGTAGATCCTTTGGGAGCTCCAGCATCGGAAATTCTATTTGACATAATCGAAAGTTCAAGTTTACTTTTATAAAATTGCTCTTACAGTCTGCAAAAAATAATAAGCCGCATCCAATTCGAAGATTAAGGAACAACGCAATCAACATTAACTGAATTAGATAATTTTAGCTTATACCATCCGTTATACATAAAACGCGCACGCGAAAACGTATTCAGCGCTTGCGCACACGCATATGCGCAGTCGTAAAGATCCGACGCGCACGCACAAAGGCTTATGCGCATGTGTCAACGCAGCGCATACGCAGAAAGTTTTTAGCTTTGAGGTCCGGATTATGGGTGTCCTAATTAATGACTTTTGACTCTATATTCTTTGAATGACCTGTTTACTACTCATTGTATATGTCCCGTTTTTGCTATATGTTCCGTCTTTGCTGCTTATCATAAAGTCGCCAAAAGTAGCCAAATCCCGTGTGCACCGGATACTAGGATTAAACCCAAGTCTGATAACAGGTTAATAAAATTTATTCTTATCAAAAGAAATATGGGCGAAATTGCAGAATCGCCTACTGCTTGGCACGTTTTTAAGAATTGCACATACTTGGTATCCATGTACACATCGACCTATTTTCACTTAAAAAAAAATCCCAGAATTGCACAAAAATGGCATTGCGCAGTCCCTTCACTTTATCCATGTACACATCGACCTATTTTCACTTAAAAAGTCACAGAAAATTGACAAAAATCCAATTCTTCTTACCCTTATAAAAAGCGCCAAACAAACGCCAATCAAATAAGTGGGCGATTCTGCACTTTAGCCGAAATATGTTAAGAGCTTTGAAATATTCCTCAGAGATATTTGGACAAGTCTTCACAATATCATGCAGTAATAATCGGTAGCTATACATCAAACTACTAAAAATATTAAATATAACACAATGCAAAGCACATCTAAAGATAAGGCTAATCTGAGTTCTCATGGAACGCAACTACAGTAACTAAGCAACTGAGCCGAGATGCTCTCTCTCTCTCTCTCTGGCTTTTCATAGTTTTCAACCAGTCATGAGAAATTTCTAGTACTTTTTGCTTCTAGAGATTTCTGGAAAGCAATAAGAGGATGGAATTATGGTTACAGCCAACATAGTGGTCAATTACATTTATTCAATTTTAATACAAATTACAGAGATATCCATTTACTCAAAGCTAAATGCACGTGGCCCTGTATTCTTACGTTTCTGGCATAGCTTTCTCAAAAGATCTGTCTCGTGCTGCATGGCATGGGGAAATGCAATTTTAGATAAGTTATTTTAGTAGAATTCTAATTAAATATAAAATCCATAACACTATTAAGTCAAGGTAACAACGTGGCCTTTAAGCAGGCTTAACACACACTTTAAAATCAACTTCTAAAACCTTCACTTAAATAGCATTTCTTTCTCCCTTAATTTGAATATAAGCACACTAACTGATTTATGTTCTGGCAGAAAGCATAGGTGAAAAGGAGAGCGACAGGAAAAAATTATTTAAAACTATTGGTCAACTAAAAATAAACTATTGGTCAACTAAAAATTAACAATTGGTCAAAATAAATAAATAAATCCTCACAACCTATATTTTGCAAAGACAATGCTGGCTTTGATTTTTCAGATTTTACTAAGATTTCTAAACATCCAATAAAATGCTAATTTTTTAACTTGTTCAGTACAGAGTTTTAACTCAGTAAGCCTGAGTTAACTCGAGAGCGGCACTGAACGAGTTAAGGCAGTTTCAAACAAACTCATGTGCTTTTACAACTTTACCTTAACGTCAGTCGTCCGACCTATTTAGTGAATTTTATATCCAGGCAGGAATTCAGAACTCTTTGAACTTTTCACTGTGACCCCGCCCAAAACTTTGAACTCCTTGGAATATTATTTTGTGATAATTAAGCACATTCTTTCTCTCTCAGCTCTTTCAAGGTATATATTTGGATCATTTGATTACATGCTTGTATTAATGCTACGTAGCACTGAAAGGTTGTATTTTATGTAACGTTAATTTTGTTACTTATACATGAATTAACTATTAGAATTAATACTTTAATATAGCTCATGTTTAAAAATTCTTCTCTTTTGATTCTTTCTCTGCATTGCATTAACATTTAGGTTTAATATGATGTAGAAATAATTATTTTCAAAAGCATAGTTAACTTGAATAATTAGTATATGTATATCATATTATAGAGATATAATTATATGTATTATGTCACTGTCCCCTATTTTGCTTATAGTATACTTTGGCAAAATATTGCAAAGTTGAAATTAATGCACACCGTATAACAATGGTTCAGTACACACGCGACTGACAGTAGAATAAGGAAATATCTTACACTCTTTATGTTCATCATTCAGCATAAAATATTGTATTCATCGGAAACTGTCTTTTCACATATTATGTACATTTAAGGGTTTTTAATAATTATTATATGAATGTATTAAGTATTTTGCAGACAAGGAATTCAAGATAGTACAGAATTCAGCTGAGCCTTGTATCAGATGCCTGTGTAACCATTTTGTAACTTTTTTTTTAAATACATTTGCCAGGATGACATAACACTTACAAGACTTTTCACAGAAAAAGTAAAGGTTAGGGGTCATCTTCAGTGGCATGCAGTAATATAAATGTTTTACTATTTTAAGAGTTCTACTGGCATGAATTTTATTATATGTATTGTTGTTAACAGCGACCACACAAAATTATTTTATGTATTTTGTAATACAGCTTATTTTTGATATAATAAACAAGAATTAAATTTTGGGCCAAGAGAAAATTTTGCATATTTTTTTTTAATTTATAATGTTCACCTTAACATTATAGTTAACAATGTTAAGAATATTCTTAATGCTGTTTTTCAATTCAGATGTATTTGAACTAAAATGTATTCTTGAATTATCTTTAAAAGAACCAATTTTGCTTTAATAACCAGAATTATTGAAATACTTTAGTTTTAATGATTAGACATTTCTGTTATGTTAAGTTTAAAATCTGCTCTATTTTGTTATACTTATTCAATGACATTAATTTTTTATCCACTAGAATCTGAAAATCAAGCTTTCTTGTTTAATATCTCCGCTTTAGGTACGATATTAAAATCTCTCTCTTTTCCTTCATTTCTACCCAGAAAAAAAAATTTTTTTTTGAAAAATTCTTTTATCGATTCTTGATAGTCTGATTTATTAATCTTTCTCTCTTATCTTCATACTGTTGTTGATATATTCATCTTTAAAGCTATGTTTTCACATTTGTCAAAAATCACATTTTCAGTACAGAGTATTTCAGTGTATTGCTTCTATTTCCATTATTTTATTAATTCAGAAAGGACAAATCATATCAGGGCTGTTTAAGAAGAAGGATGCTGTCATATAAGACTGTGTAACACGGTGAAAACCACAAAAATATCTATGCAACTAACTTCTGGGATTTTATATTGCAATAATCCGTCTGTTAAGCTTGCAGTTTTTTTTATATCTTTAAAAGGTAAATTCTAGCAGTAAAACCTTTTCTTTTTCTAATGGTGTTAGATTCCACAAAGACATAAAATTTTAAATGATTTTTTTGTCTCGCTTTATTTAAAAATTAAATTTATTTGGTTTGGTTAATTGATTAAGAAAAAGCATGCAAATAAATGCACAGGTGCTCACAGATTTTTTATTATTATTATTATTATTATTATTATTATTCTTTAAGTGAGATATTTTAAAACTGTGCTTCTTCATATATTTCATAATTTAAAGTTAATAATGTTCTTATTTTCTAAATGTATTTCAAAATTCGCACAGCGAATTGAGTACTTTTCCTAGCCATTCACCTGAGGCAAGTGCCTGACACTTATCACTGCTATGTTTTATGTGCAAGGAAAAACAAAACAGAAGAAAATATCAACCATTGGAAGAAATGTAATGAAAGAAGCATTTCTTATAATATGGATGGTCCCAAATATATATATGTATTTACAGCAGGAAAGCCAATTTGGAAAAGACAGAAAATTATGAACTTAAAATCAACATAAACTAATATCCCTGCAGTCTTCTGTGATCACTCATTGGGGATTTAAAATTCTAGAATTTTCTCTTTTGCATGGGAGTGCTTTGCATGAAATTAGTCAGGATGTAAAAAATACAGAATATATATATATATAAAAATACAGTGCTACATAAGAAATTTATTTCTCATAAATGTAAAATCGCCCTGTATTTTAAACACTGTTCCATCAAAAGTTTTATGAGAATTTCATACATGCAAGGTTCTTATAATGGGAAGTAATTAAATAAGAAAACAATGTGAATTTTGTATAACATTCTTATGTTTCAAATACAGGAAAAAATAAGTTTAAACGAAGTTTGAGGGAAAAAAAAAAAAAAAAAAGGTTCACAGTTTGAATTTACTATATACTTATTTGAAAATATATTTTGAAAGTTACAGTTTAATGTATATACAGTAATTAATACAAAGAAAAGGCAATAAAAATCATTAAATTGTGAAATTAAATTTTAACAAAAATACATTTACCTTCTTCAGATTCAAGACATATTACAATATATAGATCAATATTTATTGATTGTATAAGACAGATTTGATGACAGGAATCCAAAATATCTTGCTACTTTATGTAGAATAGAGGGAATTTTATTTCTAGTTTAGAAAATAGTAATATGCTCTTTGCTTTTCCTTCCATACTTGCTCTTTTGTAACTGTTATACATTTTATTTTACAGTTATGAATTTTATATATGCCTTGGAATTGATGTACTGAAAATTTTGAAGATAAAGATCTCAGCTTCATTTAAATAAACTTTAGTTTGATATTAAAGATCTAAAATGGCTGATAAAAGAGAATCTAGCAGAGTTAAAGAGCAACGTAAAATTTTAGATGAAGCAGCAAGACGTCGTCGCCTACGAAAACAATTAGAGAATTTGGAGCTGGATAATTTTCATGATGATCCTCATGCTAATTTGGTTATGCATAAAAAAGCACCAAAGTTTGAAGAAACCTTAGAGAATAAAAAACGTAAAAAGTTGAAAACTGAACCGTACAAGCAAAGGTTTCGAAAGAATTTCACAGCTTTATTGGAAGAAGAGTCATTTAATTTTACTAAAGATAAAACTAATTATCTTTCTGCAAGAGTACCACCTTCCAGGTATCCAGAAAGACATTTCTGCTCAGTCTGTGGCTTTGATTCGAATTATACATGTGTCCAGTGTGGTAGTCGATATTGTTGTGCCAAATGCTTTGCTACGCATCAAGAAACACGATGCTTGAAATGGACTGCTTAAGTATTCATATTACAACAGGAATTATTTGCCCTACATTCATTTTATTAATTTGTTTTATGGCAGAAAGCTTAGATTTCATTCAGAAAGATTAGATTTTAGAATTTAAGGTAGTTATTATAAATAAAAAATACATTAAAGGTGAGGGATTATTTGGATAAGAAAGCGCATGAGTGCTCTCTTTGTTAAGTAGAAAGGTATGCTTTCATGGAGGACTTTTTGATGGCAACTAGCCTGTATTTAGTGTTACATATAAGAAAAATCACCAAAACTAGCAGACAGCCAACCTGTTCACCAGGCTTTGAACTTTGTTCAAACTACCAGTTTTCAGCAGTTTTACTGCTTGGTCTCTGGTGATCTCTGAAGGCTTTGAAACTCCTTCACCAAAGTATTTTAAGTATTTATTCTCCTTTGTCAATGTACCACACTAGTCGCTGAATGATTAAAGCCTCTGCATGCTGATAGTTCAACCTGGCTTTGAAACTAAATGACAAGCTTATAACATATTTGGTTTTCATGGTTTTTCCCACATGGAACATGATTATGAGACAGTTGACCTTAGAAAGTCCTTCACAAAGGCATTCATCTCTCAGATAGCCCTCATGCTTTGCCATATTCAAGTAACCCAACTTTGATCAGAGCAAAACTTTTGCAAGCAAAATAGGAGATTCATTAATAATGCAAAAACGTGGTTTGGAAAATAGTAATATATTTACTATTCAAATTCACTGAAATTTATTTCAAGCATTTTGCTTCTTGTTTTTTAAACTGATGTAATATTTGGATGTAAAAAACCATTAAGATGTTACCTCAAAGGTAATATTTAATTTTTTAAGATTTCACAAGAATTCATTATGTGAAAAGTAGAATCTAATTTAATGATTATTGAAGTTTTTAAAATTAAGAGACTTATAATTCTAGGGAAACTTGCTTTAAAATATAGACAATCTGGTTGCATATTTACCTAAGATGGAATTCAAATGATTCTAACTGCAAAGCATTGGATGAATTTAATTCCTACAATTGTCTTTAGATTTATTTCACGTTTTGTTCTTTTACATATATTATTGCATGGTGCAGATGTATTTTTAAAAGTTTTTTTTAAATCATGTAAGATAGAATTTATTAACACATGTAAATTTAAAGCACATGTCCATTACATAATGATTTTGAAAATTATATTATCTAATAATGAAGTATCTATCAAAGAGTGCATAATTTGTTTTGTAGTTATGATTAATGAGGGAAAAGTTTTAAAATTTATAAATCATTAAAGTATATTATGCTTTTTAATGATTAAAAAGTATTGATGTTCTGTATTTCAAATCTATTTAATGTGTTTGATTTAAAATAAATTCAGGATATTTATAATTGTGTTTTAATGAGAGCGAGTAAAAATTAAATAATTAAAAGCAGAGCATGTGAATGACACATTTTAAACGAGGATTTAATTGGGTTGTGGAAAAGTGCACAAAGTCTCTCTGCCTAAAGGAAAGGGTTGTCTTTGCGAAAAGAATTTTTAAGGGAAGAGTAAATAAAATTTTTTGAAGGGTAACATTTTACATTATTTTAATACTATAGCTCTTATGATGGAAATTTAAATATAAATTAATTTTCACGCATTTAAATAAAAAATATTTTGTTTCTGTCACATTTTATTTAGATCTATATTGATATGAATTTTTATTTAATAGCACATTTATTTTGATATTAGTTTGTAATCTTTAAGAAATTCAAGAATTTTGTACTACTCTTGTCTATTCACAAAAATAAAACAGTATTTTTATTCTAATTGTAATTATTTCACATTTCAGAACTTGAACAGGAAACAATTCCTTAGCTACATCTATTATTTGTGGAATTTCTTTTTATAATTTATTGCCTCTTTTTTTTTTATTTACTTGAAAACTGAAGTAAACCAACAATAAAACAAATTTGGTATGATTTTGTAAAATATGCCCATGTACTGGGTAAAAATTAGTTCAATCACATGGTTACAAAATTACATATTAAAATTAATCTGTAATTGCTACACATTTCATAATATTTGCTCTAAAGATCCATAAAAAGTTTATTCTCTTCTGTACAAAAAATCTATAATTAGAAAATCATTTAAGTGTTTACAGTTTATGTATGTATTCTAATGAAACAGACAATTAAAACAGTTATATTGACATACAGTTTTTCAAGTCATCATCTCCCTTATTTTAATAATTTCAGTATTTGAATCAAAATGTAAAAGTGAAAATATTTTACTGTAATTCATTGTTTACAGGTACCTTCATATAAAGCACTTTCTAGGAGGAAAGGTATACAGTATAAATAATTCAAATTAAAAAAAAGCCAGACTATAGAAACATTTGAAAAATGAAAGCAACAAATACTGTACAGATGCTTTGAGCATTTTCATGTGAACAGAAATTTGATGTTTTAAAGAAAATATATCACAAAAGAATTGAAACTTACTAATTATTTTCACTGCTGCTAACACTAAGTTTCGATTTTTTTCCCCCCATTGTAAGAAATTTTGTCATCTTTGGTTGGAAAATGTGTCTCAGAGAAAGAGAATAATGTAAAGTAATTTTGTTGTCCCAGACAAATAAAAACAGGCACCTTTTAATGCACCAAGGAAATCTCTTTACTTATATATTTATTTAAGCTAAATATTCGACATACATGGAATTTTAAGTGTCTCTACTTATGGGCTGCAATTTTTGTGAACTTTACTGTATTATTTGAAAATAAGAAAAAGAAACATTTAAAGATTTATTAGGTTCTTGGGAGAAGAATTCAAAAGCAGATTAATTAATTGTGTGTTAAAGTACATGGATGTTGAGGATGTCACAAATAGCTGTTAGAAGTAAGAAAAATGGTACATAATTACATGATTTAAAAGATCTTTTTGTATTTAAAGGACTGCACAAAACTATGTAATTTACTTATTATGTAAAATGACACCGTGTTTCAAGATATTAAAACACGAGTTCTGATTCAGAATCTTCATAAATATGGATTAGAAAGAAGCTGTTATCAGCAAATAGCAGCCAATTACTGTACATAATTCAAAAATAGAATACATTTATGGAATTTAACCAACAAATATTACAAAATTATTACATGCTAGGAAGTAAAGCATTATTGACAGTTGCAATACACAACATGCTCGAAACTGCATAATCTTTACTTGCATATTTCATTGTATACCAAAAGGTTATCTTCAAAAATTATCCAATGAATCAACTGAAGGAAAAATAAGAACTAGGAACGTATATGTATTATTAATAGTATTATGTATCATTTTGCTAAGGAATAAAGAAACTAACTGCTGAAGAGAAAATAATTCATAATAGTTTTAATGACATTAATGAACATATTATTTATAATAATTTTGAAAGAAGACCCCCTTCCAAACTAAACTGAAGCATAGTCTAACTAATTACACCCAATTCTTTGCACATAATTATATAGTTAAGTAAGTGAGGACCGTCGGGCATTTTTGGTTTAAATTAGTTTCTCTACACCCTATATTTTTGTATGACAGAAATGCAAATACTGGTGTATAAAATATGGCCATATGATAGCATCTGACAGGAGTAATCTACAAAAGGTGCAGTGGTTATTGTACACTTGTTACCACACAAGCCAAGAATTTAAATTTTCTTGGAATAAAACATTCATTGATGTTTGAAATGGTCAAACTCTTAGGTCATTTAGCCATCTCATCACTGAAAATTTTGCACAGTCTTGACTAACCCCTATACCACTTAGGGCGACTCTTGCAGCAGTAGAGAATCAGTAAAAAAGCATCAAGACTGTTTCAGTCAGCTTTTTATTTCTGATTATTATAAAGTTTGTAGACTGAATGGCCAGCTCAGTTTCAAATATTCTTAGAAACAGATGTAATTCATACAAAATCCCCAATCACAATGTTAAGTAATGGATTGGATTATGACAAATCATGCGAAGGCTATTGTCCTAAATAGAAGGATCCCCCACCAGTGGCCGAGCAGTTAAGACTGCTGAATACTGGTACTTTAGCCCAGGAAAATGGGCTGACTGCATGTTTGGTTTTCATGGTTTTTCCTGCATGTAATCTGAATATAAGAGGAAGGATGACAGTATGCTGCATTAATGGCACGACTCTAAAGAGTAATTGGTGTGGTTGCATTTGTTAAGGTTGTGTATTACTTCATATCAAACTAAAATACATTTAATATAAATCTATAAAAGTTTTATTACAGTACATAACAACATTGAAGGCATAGGAGTGATAACTGCCGGTTATAGTCTTCATTATCTGTGGATATTGCTAGCGGCAAGAGTATGAGAGCATTCTAAGTTCTTGCCTTGTCTAAAACAGTTTGCAAACTGAATTAGTCACACCTTAATTTTTTGGTTGTATTTTAGGTCCTCTGATTCGTTATAATTGGAATGATATCATTGGTATGTCTGCCTTCCTGAAATTGAGAGGCTTTTGTGACGGACACAGTGGATCGTTAAAATCTATTGGCACTGATGATGAAATTCTGATTCTTGTAATGTCAAGTGGAGTTATAACTGAATGAGTTACTGCTTCTGCAATGTCAGCCTGTCATCTTGCATCATATAACAGCTCAAATAATGCAACCTGTGGGGGACCACACACATGAATTTCTTATCTTTATGAGGATTGCCACACAAGCCAGTTTACTTTAGAAGGTCCTCCACGAAGGCATCCCTTCTCTTAGACAGATAGCCCTCATGCACTCTGCCATATTCAAATAACCTATCCTAAGGAAAATGATTTCTCTTTATGGAAGACAGTTTTGAAGTAAATGTACGTAAAGAAAACTATCTTATGTTGATGTATCATCAGATTGTTGTGTTTAAGCATCCGTGGCATGCTTTGCCATAATTGAACAGACTTTAAACACATATACTTTCAGTTAATGATAATTTTCATTACACCCTCAGATGTTTAGCGAAAATCATCATTAAATTGCATGACTAATCAAATTATCACAATCTGTGATGTGAAACATATATGCACTTGACAACTAAAAAATTTACATATTTTCAGCATACTTTCAAAAAGTACATTAGCTAATTAAATGTGTTTAATGTTAGTTTTAACCCCAATTAATTTAGTCTATCAGCTAAATTATGGAAAAAATTCTTATGTAAATTAGTTAATAAATGGTTAGATTATTGTAAAACATCCTTATGTATAAATTTTGGTGCAGTATTTCTCTTTAAATGTTGCTACAAAGTGTTATCTCACATGTCATTTACTTTTCAGGACTGTTTTATTGATGCAAAACACAAAGGCTATCTGCTTAAGCTTCATAGTAATTCTCTTTCACATCACCTATATTTTTTATACCTTAAAAAAATCATTCTGACCCTTTAGTTATAAAAATTAGTAGTATGTTATCATTAATAATTATATATTAGAAACATGATTAAAAATAATTACAGAAGTTTCTTTAGTTGTTTATGATAACTCTTCAGATGTATGTTCACTATTTCTGAAACTAAATGATATATATACCGATTACAACTAACATTTTTTCCTCTACACGAATTAAGAATCCTTATCTCTTACACTTTTTCTATCATTTCTATAGCTCAGTTAAAGTACTAGTAAATGGGAAACAATTTCAAAAATAGTTTTCTCCTGTTATCAAAAAATTGTGTTTACCCATGAAAAGCAAATTTTTATAAATACAGATTTTTTTTACCGTAAAAAAAATTTGCGCTTTTCTAATCGAGATATTTTTTCGTAGTCAGGTTCCACTAGAGGAGATAAACTCCACATAGGCTCTTTTTAAATGTATAAATTTTGTCTACGTGCTAATAATTTGAATCAGTTTTATCACACATGAGAAGCATTTTTTTTTCACTGATGCATATAAGAAATTCCCATTGTAATGTACTGTTGAAACTACTAATTATATTTACATAAATTTATCTTGCTTTCTTGATATTTGAGAGTTACTGAATTAGCAATTTGCCTTCGAAAATTTCAGATTAAAATGAATAAAAATTTTTTTAAATCTATTTTAATGGGGAAAAGGCAGAAAATGTCTTGCAAAGTTTAAAAAAAAAAAAGGTAACATTTTTAACATAGTCCTTTACTTATATTGAAAAAGTTATTAGTTTGAAAATTACCGACTTTTTTCTTTTAACCAGCTTTACAAACAATTTGAGGATTTATTTAAGGCGTTTCCATTAAAAAAATTCGAAGAAATGGAGAGACGTTTTGTTCTGTGTTGATATCGATTTTATGTAAAATAAATCATTTTTCAGTACTTCTAAATTCCACGGCCGTAGTATAGCGATATATAATTGCTGCAGAATTTTCCTCCAACTCTGCTAACCATATATGTTAAAAAAAGATCATAACACCTTGTAGCAACACAAACATCAATAAATAAAAAGACTGAAATTTGGTAGGTCTGGAAATTTCTTTCTACCCTTCAACAGTATCTTCTTCATAGTGCGTGCGATAGCATTTGGTTGCACTTTGTAATTTGGCATTCCCCACTCGTTTAAA